AGTAGTAGTAGTAGTTGTTGTAGTGGGATCAGCAGCAGCAGCAGTAGCCCCAGTTCCACTGCCAGTACCAGTGCCAGCTCCAGTACCAGTACCAGTACGAGTACCAGTGCCAGAGCAAGTGCGAGTCCCAGTACCAGTACTAGTGCTATTACCAGTACCAATACCAGTACCAGTACCAGTAGTATTTTTAGCGAAAGAGCTGCGGACCTCGATTTTTGTGTGGTGTTCGTGAATGAGACATGTTTTTTTGCTGTTTGGATTTTCCTGGTTCTTTGTGTCTGTGTTTTGAAGCTGTTTTTCCGGATTTGCCGCAACAGTCGTGGTTTTCATTGGTTGATTTTTGGGTTGGTTTTTACAGTTGTTGTTTTGTGGTTTTGCAAAAAAGTCGTAAACAACCGTGCGTTTTTTGATATTCTTGCGGGTCCGTGTCACCTAGAACATACAAGCAGCAAGAGGGTGCAGCAACATTGTCAGTGTGGCTGGCATGGTCATCCTCATTGTTGTCCTCTTCCTCATCATTATCATGATCATCATCCTGAACAACAGGAAGGTCATCATCAACAGGAACATACGTCTCATCACAATCATGCTCAGAAGCAGCATGAAGATGGTTTATGAGCATCATCATCAGCATGAGCTTGTTTTGGTAAGGACGACCTAAGCCTACTAAGTTGCCATAACCAATGCGGCCGCAGGCATCATCACGGGCAACACCGGCACCACGACAGCTATCATCGTCATAATCCGAACAATATCGGCAGCAGCATCGTCATGCAACCGCCACCAGGGGCAGGACAAACATGACAGCGTCATGCAGTGCGACATGATAAATTCAACAAGCAGTCACAAAACAGACGCCGCCGCCGCAAAGATGTGTCCGAAATGACATGGAGAAAATCATTGCCATGGACGTTAACATCCCCCCCCGTCCCATCCCACCCCCATGCCCCTCCCCACCCCCTCCCACGAAAAGCAAACGAAAACAAGGAGAACAACATAAGCGAATATCACAAGCCGCATCGCCATGGACGTTAACATTCCCCCCCCATCCCCGCTCCTCACCCCCCCAAGAAACCAAAAAGACACAGACACGAGAAGGCAGACGAGAGCCACAGAAGCAAAGCAGCCCAGTTGCACGCCAAAACGGAAACGGAGAAGGCACGGAACGCCGGAAATTCCGACAGAAAAGACATGTGCATGTGCAATAACCCCATTTTTTCCAGGAAAGCACTGTTCATACCGATGCAACAGCAACAGCAACAGCAACAGCAACAGCAACAGCAACAGCAACAGCAACAGCAAAACAGCAACATTAACAGAGATTGCAGAAACTCCAGCAAGAACAGACAAATCGGAATTGGCCCGGCAATGTCCACCCCAACTCAGTCTGCTCAGCCGTGTCTACATGCCAACACACTTGTCTCTATGCCGTCGATATTGATGTCACGTCGTCTCATCTCTACACTTGCAACGTTTTCTGTTTCCCACAGTCGTCTTCGTGGGCTTCCGTTGTTTTGAGTGCGAGGTCGCGGCCGGCATTTTGGCCGTCATCGCTTGTCTTCACCTGCAGCCAAGCCTTTGACTCAGAGATACAGGGCTGTGATGCTCTTCGAGATGGTTTCGCACTGGGCTTCAGGTCTTGGGATTGGGATGATGGCTTTGCCCAGCGCCCCCCTCCCCCCCGCGGCTCGCTGAGGTCGAACATGGACACTGGCACCTCAGGCTCCAGGGATCTCCAGAAAGAACGGGTTTAGGGGTCGATTTGAGATTGAATTGTGATCGAAGGAGAAGTACACGGCTGGCGGCGCCTACATCGTAGAGTGGCCCTGGCTGTGTGTTGAAAAGTCGGACCCCGCAAGCTGGCGCATGCTGTGGCAGGTTTACGTTCACCCTGCTGCTGTGCATGACCTTTCTCTCGGTCTCCTGTGTAAAGGCGCGCTCCGTGCCGGGAAGAGCTCCGCACGAGTTCCACAGAATCCCGACCCGCCCCCGACCCCAACTTCCCCTCTCACCCCGCCGAAACTTCGAAGTTGGACCAGGGCATCACGAGCAGCTTTCAGAGGCCGCTGGGCAGCTGCCTTCGCAGAGAAGCCACGCTTGCTTTGCGCTGCGAGGAACTTTTACTTCGGCCTGGCCATCGGCTTTGCTCTGCTGACGGGCAGCCTCTGCTCTTCTGGCATCTCTGGGGGGTGCTTGGAGCCTACTTGGAGCCTCCTTTCCGGAACTTGGGGGACGTCTGCCGGCCTCCCGGCCTCACGGCCTCACCTGAGGCCTGAACCCGGCTGTTTCGCTCGGCCCGCAGAGACACGCCCGTTGCAAGGTTTCCCACTGCTTTGCAGTTCTTGAGAGCTGACGACATGCCGAGGGTGGGGGTCGGCGTGGCTGCCCTGATACAGAACAGGCTCGTGCTTGCTCGATATTTTACTCCTTGTACCTGGTTCGATGTTTTCGCAGTTTGCTGCTCAACTGGAACCTCCTTGCTCCTCCCGCTTCCCCTGGTTTCTTGCATTTAGGCCTTCCTCGCGTCGCATGTCCGAGCAATCACGTTCGCACTCGCTTTTTCTTGCTCTTTTAGTCTCCTTCACCTCCCCGTTCAGTCATTCACTCCTCCCTCCCTCCCTCTCTCTCTCTCTCTCTCTCTCTCTCTCTCGATCTCGCTCTCGCTCTCGCTCTCGCTCTCGCTCTCGCTCTCGCTCTCGCTCTC